CCTAATGTACCATGGAACAATTATTATTATTTTTACAATTATTATTATTTTTACAATTATATATTGTTTAGGCTTTTGTTGTCTCTTAAACTCAATATTATAAATTCCAAGTTCTATTTGATTATTTAAATAATTTATTTAAAATAACGAATGCAAAATGTTTGAACTTCAACAGTGGAGGCATGTGCTTGATCAAAACTACAGCGTAGCTTAAAAGTCAGCTTTGTTATCGATTGCATATATCGATAACAATGTTGTGACATTTGGCTGTGTAGTGTTTTTGTGGTTTAGTTTTTTTCTCCATTTCTTTCGTTGGTCACAACAAATTATAAAAATTGTAAGAACTTTTTTGTATATAATAAATAATATAAAATATTTTTTACAATTTATTTATTCCTTTGTTGAAAATAACGTTAAAGAATATAAATATAATAATAGTTTACTCTCAGTTATTGCAGTTATTATAACACAGGTTGGGCGCGTACAACGCAACGACAACGCCCATACAAATTAATTGAATCATAAACAACATTATTAAAACTAAAATATTTCGAATTAATTTATATAAAAAGTATAATTTTATTTAGAAATAAATTTATCACTGCACACAATTTTTAAATCTAACGATATTCAAGTGAAATTGTAAGGCTTCAATATGAATTACGGTCGTAAAACTCCATCAACTTATCGTTCCAATCCATCTGTGTATTCACACACCACTGGGAGGTATTTTTATTATGAATTATGTTTTGTTTTTCGGCAAATAAAAAATGTTATAATTTTATTATAGATCATCAACAAATCTACATTCCATAAAGTCCCGTTCAACACGTTCCGTGCGTATACCTTGGTATCAACGACCCATATTGCAGAATAATCAGTATATTGACATACAAAAGAGTTCCATGCTTATTGGGCTCTTTGCCATAGTAAGTGTAATGTGCAATATATTTTTAAAAACATAATCGGTCAATTTTTGTTTTAGTTTTTAGCTTTATTTACCATTGGCACCTCAATATTTGATATTTATTCTTTGGCTATGGCTGCGCCAGGCTCAACGCATTATGGCTACTATATAATATCGTATGAATTCGTTTATGTTGGCAATAAACATGGTGAGTATAATGTTTTGAACAAATTTTTCTAATCACAATATTTGAAAAGTTAAGTTACATTACTGCGGTGATTGTAAGCATCCAGTAAAGACTCTTAGTTTGTAGTATAAAACTCATAGGTCTTAAAATCATTTTTAGTGAGCTCTTGTAGATTGTAAGTCCTTCATATTTCTAATCTATGTTGCATTTGTGCTGGACAGTGCAAATGCAGATTTTAGTTTCAAGCGAAGTTTCTAACCGTAGTGACACATCAAAAAAGTGTAGGACATATTTCAAGTCAACTGAATGACACACTCAGAATTTTTCTTATTCATTCATTATCCATTTTTTATTTATTCATATCAAAAATGATATGATAAGATTACTTACAGTTGTTCCTTTGATAATGTATTTAATTAGTCTAAAAAGCCTAACTTGTTCTCGTAGTATGTCATGAAGTATAATCATTTTAGTGTAGCCAAATTTAATTTATCTTCCTTGTGCTATTAGAATAGACCGTTTCTAATAAAAGACTATAATCACAGTCATTGCTAGAAACAATTCACATACAAAATGTAAGAGTTATTTTGGACTAAACATTTTTTCGTGGATATGTTTAATTGAATTGTAATCTTGAATGTTGGTTAAAACTTGAAATGGACCCATATTTTGTACGTTCTTAGTTAAAGATATCTATGCTACATTTATTCCATTTGGTTAGTAAGTACTCTGTATATCACAATTGATGGAACCATTTAATCATGTTATATATATATTCATAGTCTCATAAAGAACCCATTCTAATATTTGTAGAACACAACTGCTGGTTACACAATTCCACAGGTATTTTTAAAGAATTGATTTTTATATTTGTAAAACTCAACTGCTGGCTATGTAATTCCTCATGTTGTAGCACACATTGTAATCGTATTCCTTTTTCTTTTGCCATTTAAAGTGATAACAAAAAATATAACGAAGACTTTCAAAATGAAAATTAAAAGGTTCAGTTTATCGGTACGTACCGTAAGAACTTAAGTCAAAGCGAAATACACAGATATGAATGGTTGTGCGTTTCGTAAGTTCGCTTAAGTTCTTACGGTACGTACCGAGTAACTGAGCCTTTAAACGAAAGATTGAATTTTATTACGATGCACAGTAATAAGTACTCTCTTAATTATATTTTTATAAGCTTTGCCAAAGGTTTCAAGTGTTTATAACCCATGGGTTTTTAATTATACGGTAACAATATGGGCCTATAGGCCTAAGTGGATCCTTGGGATCGCCGGTGTAACTTAACCTAATCTAATCATAGTTTGAAAGGATCTGAATTAGAAAATCGTATGTGATTTCAATTTTTTTTAAAGTTTTTTATAAATATAGATTACATATGTAAACTAATATAGTATATAATAATAGTATATATAAAAGTAATTATAAATTTTTTTTCTTTTCAGTGCGTAACATGCTAATCGTATTTGCTTTATTTTCGTTAATACTGGGCTTTATAGTATTATTTACTAGTATTTTACTTGTGATTGCTTTAAGAAAAGTAAGTTTGTTTTCCGAATAATTATAAAAAACATTAATTATAATTTTTAATATATTTATTTAGCAGCATTTTAATAATTCTAAGTTATTTCTAAAATATTACATGAATTATTTTTTTTTTTTATTATTATAAGTAACTTTTGTTTTTATATGAACAAATTATCACAAAATAGACTGCATTATAAAACTATTTATTTGTTCAGGAACTCATATTGTTTGCGTGTTTTATATTATAATTTTATTTGTACATACTACATACATGTATATTATTATATATATGATTTTATATATTCTACACCTAAGATGTTTTTTTCTAATTAACACTCATTCTTCATATAATTAAATCATTATTATTAATTTTCAAAGCAACGTAAAGAAGGACAAAAACAAAATAAATACGTTACGATGCCGGTACGATACTTACCTTAATGTCATTCTGTATAATAATCATAATTCATTTTAAACGATTAAATTAATTTAATTTTGAAATTGGCAAAATATTTCTTTTCATAATATCCTACTTTATCTATAAACTCATGTTATGTATCTAACTAATAAAAACAAATATATATTACAGGAATATGAACGTAAAGTGATGCCTTGGCTTTGGTCCTTTGCAGTGTTTACCATTTGGCGGAGTTTAGCATTAATATTCTTTGCCATCGTAAATGATTTGTATTTTGTTTATAACGTTATGATGGTATTCCTTTGGAGCCTCTTTCTCATTATATCAATATATGGTTGGTGTGTTGTGTACTCTTTGTTCTTAGAGTTGACAAATTTGACTAAATTAGAGGATTTGGCACATTTAAGGGTAAGAATATGTTTATATGCTATAAGTTTAAAATAAATAATTAATTTATATAATTTATAGATGGGCACAATGGCTTCGTTACATGCTTCTGCTGCTAATTCATTAGCAGGTTCCCGTCCAACTACACCTCATAGCACTGTCTCTACTATGCCAGTGGGTTAAATTCGAAAACAAAAAAAATTATTTCAAAATATGTCAGTAGTATATATCTCAAAGTCAAAGTTAGATCAAAAAGAATATTAAACAAAGGAAGCATCATCAACAAAATAATGTATACCAATTATAAGTTATAGGTTATTTAATTTTAATATTGTATATGCTCTCCGTGAAAAGAATCAGAAATATTTATGCATTCCATTATTTTCTCATTCAAAAATTATACACAAAACAAAATTTAACATAAACAATAAGTTATTTATATTACAATAATAGTTATTGTAGTCACACCGTTTTTGTGGAAATATTCTTATAAATGGTGGAACTCTTAACGAGTATTGTGAATTTTGATGTGGAAGCTTTGAGCATTTTAATGTTCGAATATGATTGTGCTCGCTAATAGTGTTATTTACAGAATTTCGAATTGATGCATTCTCTATGTTTAATTTTAGATTTCAAAACCGTATAAATACGTTTTGCAATCTTCTGTCATTTGAAAATAAAAAATATACATTTTATTTTTTAACTACTACTGCATATATGTAAATCTAAGTTAAACGAATTAATTATAAGTTTATATACTATGTACAATCCACAATATATATTAGTTTAAAATAATAATAGTAATTTGCAATGCAGCTTAAAATGAGTTGCTACATTAATAATTGTTGAAAATTCTAAATTTGTAATTGTTATTTTATTAACAAAATTTTAAAGATTCTTTTGCACATTCCATATCTATTTTATATACAAAAGTATATACATTTAAGTATATATAAAAATTAGTTTAAGCAAATCAGTGCCTTATATAATCTGAACGAAATATGTATTCACAATTTTAGCAATTATCATAAGTATCTATTTATGTATCTCGAATCTGATGTAACACAAATCCGTCCATTTTTTACGTGTTCTTAATTTTTTTTTATAATAGAATATATATATTTATATTTGTGTAATTTTGCAGATGTTTTTATAAATGTTTATAAATTTTAAAAAAATTAGAAAAGAATAAAAGTTTATAACAAAAAGTTTTATCTTTATTCTTGGTATTCTATATATATGATTTAGCTCAGACTTATAAAATTTTTAGGAAGAAAGAAAATTATGAATAATCTAGGAAGAAAATATATTGAAAATATAAGCACTTAGATGAAAGAAAAATATAAATGTCGATAAAACGGGAAGATTTTGGAGGTGGTATTGATAATTAGCACATAGTTATTAAAAATAAAAATAGAAGTATTGCAATATTCAATAAGTTAACAGTAATAACAGTAAAATAAAGAACTCTTAAAAATTTATGAACGCTGATAAAATTAAGTTCAGGCTATAAGGAACGGCTCGGCTGAAAGAAGCCTTTTACATCTCGTAAGAATTCTCATTCTAATTAAGATCATGATATAGCAACGAGCTAAACAGTTACTTGTTATGTTTAAATGGGTCCTCTAGCTCTACTTATAATGATGTCACGTATTTCAATGTCCAAAATGATATCCCTATTGGAGTCGTTTTGATTTATAGCTAGATCTTGTTAAAGTGACAAGGCTAGTTTACATCGATCTGGACTAGATTCAATTTGCACCTACTTAAAGTCAATATTTATCTTGTAATACAAATTTTTTAATCTACAAATCATTTGGATTACTACAAACACAATGTAGTAGAATCATCGGTATGAGAGCTGTGATACGAAATAGAAAGAAGTTTTGAATGCATTAAAAATTACTATGAAAAATTATTTAAAAAAAGATTTTTGTAAATATTTTATTTGATAATAGTCTAAAGAAAATGTATTCCGCAAATATATACTTTCATATACATTTTTTTACTATTAATTCTATTTATTACAATTTCTTTTTAATTACTTCAAAGCAAATAAAAGCGCAATATGCATAAAAACATGTTTAACATTTTCTTTTTTATATAATTTATTTTTCTTATATTATTATTGTACACAATTTATAAAATTGTTTTTATAATAAAAAAATAGCAATAGATAAAAAACAGTACAATTAATTTAAGTATATTTTTGAAATAAAATAAATGAAATGCGAATTAAAAACAAATGGAATGAAGCATATATATGTGTAAGTAATATTTAACAATTTTTGGTAATTAATAAAATATTTTAAATTAAAACTTATAAATAGCATAAAAATCAACAACTATTCAAACACTTAAATAATAAAATTGTCATGTCTTGATCTAAATACTTGAGGGGACGCTTCCAATAACAGATTTCTTAACATTTAAATTATATTTGTGTTGAATTATATAACCATACATATAATGATTTATATAAAGCTGCAAAAAGTTTAACATTTTTTATATATTAGATATGATTTAATAATTTTTAAGTTCTACAATCGATAGAATATAAAATTTTGTATATATATAAATTTTTTATGTACTTATTACTGTATTGAACAACTTCGTACCGAAGATATTTTTTGCTCATCATCCATTTCCTTAGCAGACAAAATACTCTTAATGCTTTCAGCTTCCTTCATCCAAAATTCAATCTAAAATGCGTTATATTAACTTAAATATATATAATGGAATTGATATGATATATACATACCTGCTGCAGTAATAAATTTCTGCGTTCACCTTTAGGTTCATTGTTCATGAACTGCACTAAAATACCTAAGGCTGTTGTGTACGACTCAAGCGCGGTTTCAAATTTTCGCTCGTACAAATACAGCTCACCCTGCCTGCCAATTTCAAGTGCATTTTTTAATTGCGGACTAGAGTTAGACATTGCAACTATTTAAACAAGAATAATATTTTAGTTAAGAAACAATAACACATTAACTTCAATTAAAATTGTGTATATTTACTCACACAACTGCTTGTAGCGTGTATCAGGCTCTATAACATCAGCTAAAGAAGTTGTTTGTGCTCCAGTACTAGAACTGGCACAAACTTGTGTGTCTACATTGACACTCTTACGATGTGCAGCTGCTTTAAACTCATCTTCAATTAAAACATTTTTTATTTCTTCTGCACGCTGTAAGTATTTCAAGGCTCGGTTTCGCAAGGCTAAACGCTTATTGGCATCAGCTTCTTCTGTTATCAACGGCACAAAATATTGCAAAGAGCTGCAGTATAAATAGTAAGCCTCTTTATAATCACGATTCTCATCATAATTCACAGCTTTGGTAACTAGTTCTATTGCTTTTTCTAATGTCTTTTCCGATGGGAAAGTTTTGAGATCAAGAAATGGATGCGCAAAAAATTCTTCGAACGTTATACGCTTGGCAGGATCATGTTTTAACAGCCTACTTAGCAGGTCATGACATTCATTACTTATGCGTGCATTTGTAGGTATACAAATTTTTTCAGCGTTACGTATGCGCATTAACAACTCTTCGATAGTTTTCGATGAATAAGGTGCTTTGCCAAAAAGGCATTCGTACAATATAACACCAATACTCCATAAATCAGCACGGGCGTCATACTGCTTTTTACGTACAATCTCTGGCGCCATATATAAGGGCGAACCTTTTAGTTGCTGATTTATTTCACCCAATTTTAAATGTTGTGCAAAACTATAATTAGTGATAAGCGTTAAAGATAATAACTTTAAAACTAATCTACTATGACTCACCCAAAATCTGCCACCTTTAATACAACATTCGGATTGCGTGTCAATAATAAATTTTGCGGCTTTAAATCAAAGTGCGAGATATCGTTAGTGCGCATATATTGCACCGCAAGTGCCAATTGACGCAAAAAGTACTTGCATGTCGATTCTGGCAGTGATTTCTTTGAATGTATAAAATTGTAAAGGCTGCCTGCATTGCAGTATTCTAGAACGATGTATATGTTTCTAAAATCATATTAAAAAGTTAATTAGAATTAATTATATTCTTAGTTTACTTACTTCTCGTCCCAGAAAAAATCCTGTAAAGCCACAATATATTTGTGGTTTAATGAGCGTAGCAGACGTATTTCGGTAACAAGATTTTCACGTGAACTGTGCGATAACTTTGACATTTCCACACATTTTATGGCATGAAATGTTTTATTTTGCTGAAAATTTATAGATTAAGTTAATGGTTTATATAATTTTTACCACAAAAGGACATTTTTCTTATACATACCTTGTGACGCACTTTAAAAACGGTAGCATAGCTACCAACACCCAATTTATCTAATATTTCATAGTCAGTTATACGTGGTAATGACATACTTACACATTTATTTTATTTAATAAATATCACAAATTAATTATTTTAAATTATATACAAATAAAAACCAAAACAAAACCAACAATAACTAAAAATTCATATGAATGAAATTCGGAGAAACGTCAAAGTATTGGCTGCGTTTAATGAACATTTGTTTATGATGTTCAACCACAGGTTGACTAGATGAAGCATTTTTGTTTTCAAATTTTACTGCAATTGTGGTTGAAGTCTTGGTTAAAAA